AAGCTTGGTTTTTAAAGCCCACACCTTGATCGTTAATAACACATTTTCGAAGTGTAAATGTTCGTTCAACATACCGTGTCCGGCGACGCTGCCTTGTGAGCTAGGACGGGAGCCGCTTCTCCATTCGTCATTCCACAAACCCTTTGCTAAGGATGCGTAGTTAGCGTACATTACAGTACATCACACATTGCTCGATGAAGTTAGTATACCCAGTCTATATTCCTATTTAAACGTCAGTCTTTAGACATTAAAGATTCTCCAAACCGCATCTCATTTCTCAGTAAATTGTACAATGTCCGAKACAGTGATTAAAGAGGATTTTTGCACCACTTTCAGTACCAGATCAGTTTTTTCTATTTAGGTAAATCAAATTTTCGTAGTTAAATGTATCCCAAATATATAGCATTCGTAGTTCTACCAAGACACCACGACGACTAAATAATCTACTCATTCGATGGGATTTAATTGGCAGWATGATAAAATCATTCGGCAGCCATAGAATAGATTATCGTCCATAAATCATTAAATATCTGGGGTTGAAAATGGTTTTAATAAGACAAAGCAAAAAGTACCCGACAGCAAATAGCTTCCAGTTTGGTGCAATGACCAGAACTTGAACTTTATCTGCGTAATTTTTTTCATTGGGGGGGCAGAAAATTCGCCTGCAATATCCACAGGTAGTTATCKATCTCTAATAATTTGAAATTGATAGTAGATTGTATTAGAATTCGGGTTTTATATCAACGAAAAACGGATGAATAATTTCATGAAGTATTCATGGAATTGAAGGATTGTTTTACTTTGAAAGAATATAAATCCGCAGCGAAGTAGCGTGTTTTTTTTCGTGTTCTCAATAGGGTGTCTCTGCATGGCGCGGTTTAATTTAACTTCTGTTGGGACTCACACAAGAAGAATACTATGGAATACAGATAGGAATGATACAAAATACTGTCAAAAGCACTAGGGGATCTTTTAATATAATTTGCTTTTCAATAGTTTTACTTTTGTACAACATGAAAAACAACAACACGTCACGTACCGATGAAACGCAAGGCGATGCGTAGGCACTTGGGAATTTTCTTAAGGTATTTTTACGTTAAATTATTTTTGTACAACATAAAGACAGCAACAAGTACGTAACGATAAAACGTAAGGCGACGCGTAAGCACTTATGTACTCGATCGCACACCTCTCTTATTATCTTTGTTTTTGTGCATCATAAATGAACACCAAATAAAACGTAAGGATCACGTAAGCACTTGTGCGTTTTCATAACGTATTTTTAAGCTTCCTTCCAGCGGAGATTAAGAGCTCTCAGGGTAATATTCAAGCATTTTGTGGAAAAAAAAACTATTCCTACCCAGGAAAGAACTAATATGTGAAGCTCGACAATAATTCTTAAAACTGATGAGCATTTGTACAAAGAAATGTGAGGATTAACTCTGGTGTATAAATGCAGTGCGCACCAACACACGTAGGATTACGTAAAAGCATTGTGGCCTTCACACACGTGCGTACGGGCGACTCTGGCGGACGGATAAGGGGACAGTAGAAAGGAAAGGAGTCTGCTTTTAGCTGGTTTTTTTTTGCGCACTCAAAAACGATAAGCGTACGTATCAAYACTACTACTACTTTTAGCTAGTAACTTGACCGCATGTTGTCACCGGAATTTGTTCGTGAAGTTTTGCATACAATCGAAATAACTCACTAGCATTATCGTTAGTTCTCATTGGCCGAGTATAATGAAAACCCTGTGCCTAGCTGTGAAATAGCTTTAGCAACTTAATTGTTAATAGAATAGGGATAGTAAATGCGTCGATGTTACACTTGCGCCGTTATTCTCGCGCAACATGATTGATTGTGTACGTAAGGATAGACGGCCGTACGTAGACGTAAGGATAGCCGGMCGTACGTACAAGACGGTCAGTCTATTTTCAGTCATAATAGTGCTCTCTCCTTAACGTGATTTTGCTGACAATATGATTATTCCGTTTCAACCATTAWTGTTTCTGTTTCTGAAGGAAGACTGATCAATCTGAATTAAAAGAGACCAAATATAGAAAAATCTTTCTAAGGCAAAATAAAGGAAGTGACACCGTCCCTAGAATTAAAACTATCCGTTTTCAAGAAATTATAGAAACAATTAAAATATACAAACGGGACTAGAATAGTGAGACAGAGAAAAATGTGATAAAACGGCTTCTAGTTAACAAGGAAAAAAACGATTTCAACTAAAACGCTATACAGCTGGGACATCCTCTAACGAAACCCCCGCACACGCCCCTGCGTGTCCCCCCAGTCTCTAGTAAACAAGTGACGTCATCAACATATAGACTTTATGGCAAAATAACGTTGCTTTATAAATATCACTAATCAAAGTGTAGGTAATTCTCATTATATTGTATACTTGGAAGAATGAAGTAATTAAAAAGTCAAAGTCCAATTATGAAATATCGACACAAGTGAAAGAAAACAATGGGAAACAATAGAGTGTTTATATTTCACGGATTTATGGACCCATGACCTTAAAAATAGTCGAATAGAAACAAAAGAAAACAATGGATTTATACTTCATAATAGACATTGTGCCTTCGTTTGGTTTTAAGTCTAMCAGTCTACATATAGAGGTTGTTATGAAAGCGGACATGTTATTAAACTTAGATTATTATGCTATGGAAATCCTCTTACGGCAAGCAAAATACAAAGTTATGCCATATAGATAACAATATAGTTAAAGGTCCATATATATATATAGGAAGCATCTTGTATCCTTAGCSAAATGGACACAAAATAAAAGCAAGATCGTTACGATTTCCGTAAGGTCATACACAACAAGTTTACGTATCAAAATGAAAGSTTTCTCTTACCGTACGAAGACAGAAGAAACTTTGTGTCAGTTTTGTTTCGAGAAGTCCATGGATCCATCATGGAACCCTGTATTGGACCAGGATGTTCGATCGACTAGCTACCAGCGCTAGATCACAAAACATATATAAGTATCATTGAAATCAAGTCGGAAGAGTACCAGGTTCAGTACCATGTCAATCATCAAGAGGTCACGATTGAAGTTAAATAGTAACTATTCAATCACGTCAATTACGTCATAACGCCTTATTTCACATGTAGACGGAAATAGCGCCATGCTGTTTTGATGAAATACGTATACTAAAAATTGAAAAAAAAACTAGTAGTTTCTGATAGAAAAGAGAAGGAATTCTCCCAGTAAGAAAAATGCTGTTTTTGAGTAATCGACAGAGCGGTGAACGAAAGGTTAAAGTACTTTGAGTTTCAGCTCAAATTACATCACAACTGAAATAACCAAAATAAATGAACTTCTTTCGCTGGCTATATCTTATTTCGTGGAATAATGGAAGTTAAACCAAGTTAGTTCGTTAATCGATTTTTCAAATTAAAATGCTTGTAAGGAATGACATTCGTCAAGCGAAATCCAACTATAACCGCTGATCGCAAGGACCATGCGTTCTGACATTTATATTAATGCACATTTTATGCAATTGATGTATTGTGTGGTTTGCCGTGACATCAAAGTTGCGACGTGTTCCGAAAATGTGACTCGCTTCGCTCGCARTAAAAATTCGATCCAAAAGGTATCGGGCTACCTGTGTTAGCGCCTTAAATGAAAGGTAGCTGACTGATTTTGGAGTGAGCAAGGCCGTACGACTTTAAAATACGAAGTCAACTTCTGCTTCTATTCAAAATATTATATTTGGCGTTTTTTGCAAAAGGCTCTCTTTCAAGAGCGTTTGACTTCCATTTTCGTTGACCGAAGACGCCGTCAATCCATGATCGAGTAAAAACGGAGACGATCAGCCCTAGGTACGGGTCCGAAAGGTTAAGCAAAGGATGTCGTTATATAGATTATCTCTCAAAATTCATCRATACTGAAACAAAAAGAAAATTAAAATAAGAGATGTAATTTACGCAAATGAATGTGAAATCAAGGRAAAGGGTTTACCTTATATCAAAAGTTCCTCCAAAAATAACATTACGACTGTTATCCTGACCTGGGGAGGGAGGGACAGTAGAGGAGAGAACAGCGATAGTTCCCCTCAAGATAAATCAGCATTATATAGAAATCAGATGTTGGTTTAAACCATCTGGAATCTGATTTTATCCAAGTATTTTAAACTATACATCGTTAAGATAAAAAACTACCGTCTCAGACGTTAGTCTTTTTGAATGACTTTTAAACGTCCGAAAGGTCAGCAAGTTTTTAATTTACGCCGTAATCTTTATATCACARCTGGTCTATTGGAAGCCTCGGACTCAGGCAATATATAATCATAGCTATCGGATCAAATGTCTCATATGCGAGTCTCTAGAGCACAAGCCTACGTTTTCCGCATATGGATACACTAACGTTGAGAGGGAAGGGGAGGGGCTTCATCAAGCGTTTATTCGTAAACGTTATTATAGAGAATAAATCTGATGTACGCAGGCTGCTGGGTGGGGAAGATTTCGCCACATTTAATGAATGTATGCATACGATTTTTCAAGTTTTTTTTTTACTATTTTTGTCCCCCGAAACACTTATGATTCTAGTTTTCGGTGGTTTCGTGTAAGCAATAGGCCTAAAACGCATTAAAAAGTACTAGGTTTCGAAAATATCCGGATTCGTGTGAATGTAACTTTTCCTCTAAAACTATTCCTTAATTTAGATTTGTGAAATTTTTAAATTTCTTTTTAAGAATCTGAACATTGCTATAATCAATGTTCAGAGTTCGTTCGATTTCGAGGGGTTTGGTCCTCGACAGAAGTTCGGTAAATATCGGAGAGTAGGCCGTGGACTTGCCGGAGGTCTGGCAAGGGTTTTATACCAACACTGAGTGCGGCTTGGTGTGGTATTCGTATATTGTTTACTAATCAATGCGATCTCGTACTGATAATAATAGGGAGTGCTGGGACTATGTAGACATAATGTATGTCATAGAAAAACCCCATGGCCACCATTTATACCATGTGGAATTCGCATAGGGGAATTCGAGTTAATATAATATGTGTTTAATCACCCATCTAGTCAGACTGCTACGCATCTAAAAAGCTATATAAAATACAATGTACATATTAACATTTGGTAGCTGTTGTCTTAGCCTCCAACGCARCCGTTCTATTGTCTCGCTTCCTGAAGACCTACAACAGAACTGACGGCTGTGRAGGAGGCCGGTGTTGTCTGGGGTGCGGTCATTGTAATCCATTAGTAGACTGTACATGATTATGGTTGTGCTGAAACAAAAGCGGAAAATAACATCAGATCAAAGATAATAGCCATTATGCCATCGACTGATGTTTTATTCATCAGTACCGCATCATAAAAAAAAATAATAATTTTATTCTCATCGCGCTGTTTCGCACCAAGTGTCGCATAGGCCTTATAATAATTTCATTATTATCATAATATTTGAATAGGAAAAGACAGAATAACACAAAGTATATTGAAATAGCAATTCTACCTTTTGTTTTACTTGCAGTATGAATTATCTGTAAAAGACTTCGACCAAATTCTTCTAGAATCATTCTCTCAGCCGAAGCAGGGGATAAACCAACCTGATATTGAAAATAGTTGGATGAATATGATACACTACAGTAAGTAAGCACTTGGAAGACAAATGCATGTGGTTGAGAATAGAGAAGGAAACCCAGTTCTGTAGACACACGTTTTAGGATTGTCCAGTTGTGTTTTACCAAAAAGATGCTTGCTGTAACTATTGACCTGTTTGAAACAGGGACAGCTGCACCTGTGGCTATTATGTGAGAAGTAATTGGGAACAAACGTGGAGATGGCAAAGGAAGCAACATCAGAAATGAAAAACTTGCAGTGTAATTCCACAGTTCGGTTTCATTTGAAAATAAAATATTAGTGAGACTAATAGTTGGTATTGCACTCTGGATCTGTTGTTTTCTTTTGTTCTTCACCAAAATACTTACTAAAAAGTCATTTTCATTACATGGTTAAAGAAAAAACGACATGGATAATTGACGACCCTGACCTTTTCTGCTTCAGATGCTTGTGCTACCAGGCACTGACAAGTAGCTTGAGCTACATCATTGGTTACAAACGAAAATGGTAATCTAAAAATATTATAAACAAAATAGGTTATTTTTTAATAAAGATAAATAAATGTTTTAATGCAGATCTTCATGACTATAAATGCACTTAACTAGATCACAATAACTATATAATACATTGATGAACAATGAGACATCTACATATGTATACCTTTCCCCTGAGCTTGTTTTGATTGATGGTCKTGTTGGTAAATCCTCAATTTGAGATTCAAGTTTCGTTTTTGCAGCGTTTTGCTGATTTACTCTGACCTCTGATAGAATAATACAAAATATACCACATAAAAGGACAGAATAACTACAAGAAATAACAAGGAATCAGGAAACTCATGAAAAGAATCTAACCTGCTGCATCAGCAAGGTGCATGAGGGTTTTTCTTTCAGGACTTTCTTCAAAGTTTTTGCACCCAGTGCACTTACATAAACTTGTACAAAGAATTTTAGCCTAAATGATTGAACAAAGTGCAAGTTAGTGCTGGAAACTAGTATGAGATACATTGGTGTTTCTATAAAGAAACAGCTGTGAAAAACGATAAATTTAACGCTGTACAGAATAGGTAAAACAACTAACTGATGTTTAGAATGTCAATCGTTTGTCCCTCTTTACTTTGACGAAGGATTGACGTCTGAAATGTCAGTTAGTTGTTTCTCCTATTTTTTATGGTGTTAACTTTATAAGGTTAGACAGTGACATCTACATACATGCACAGTAAATACTAAAGAATCTCCACATGATCATTATGATCACTAGGACAGCTGTTGTAGAGTTAAGGAGGAAAAAGAAGGAAAATTATAGTACTGTATCAAAGCAGCACAAGTACCTCATAGCATTCACAATAGTTTTTCAGACAACCTGATCTTTTACAGTGGCATCCTGCTCAAGAAAGATAATAAGACTTCAAAATACATTTGAAAGAAGAGTCAAAAATAAGAATTGAAGAATGTTACCCTTATTATGCCTTCGTTCAGATTCTCCCTGTGAAACAAAGCAAAAAAGATCGCATGTWAAGTTTTCAAATACTTGTGTACTACTAAGTAAATCTAAACTACTTGTACTAACAAGATGATTGACATACAAAAACACAACATTCTGACTTAATAGGACAAGACTTCACTAAAGACAAGATCACTGAACTTAGCTGATCTTTACTAATGAACACCTTTCCTGCTAATAAGTTTTCATGACTGCCTTTTAAGAAATTACTGTACAGTATACTCATGTGGAAGATGCTTACCACTTTTCCTTTTCCTATTTTTGGATGAAATGCATGAGGATTTCGATCMAGACATGCCTACAAAATGAATTAATGTTAATTACTCATTCAACTAATCAATCCATCAACCAATTAACCATTCAATCCACAAGACAAAAAATTAACTAACATAATGATATAATGTACTTATGATAAATTAATCAATAAACCAATTCTAACCGTCACTCAATCAATCAATCAGTCAGTCAGTCAGTCGATAAATTAGTCAATCTTTAAATCATATGTACTGTACAATCAATCAGTCAATCAATCTAAGTTTGAGCAGCAAAAAAGCAAATGGTTACCTTGATTGCTTTACTTCTTTCTTTCTCATGGTCCATATTATTTGAACAATTGATACAGTTACAGTTATTACAAAACTCCCCTTGGGCAAAACAGTCACAATATCTACAAATAACCAGATACAAGTTGTTTCAYACTAAGTAATGCATTAATGAGCTCAACAGTCTCCTTCACAGTTCCCTGAGCCATTTTAAAATAATTGTTTTGTAGTTGTGAAAGAAGGTTTCTATCATTGTATACTCAACAGTTATCATGCTTCAATACACAGCTATCTTGTTTTCAATATGACACAGTGAACTGTGAAGGAGACTATCTATCTGTATCTATAAAAGGCATTGTAAGAGAATTAATCAAAGGTAGTTTCATTCTTAAATTTGTGTTACTTACAGTTTTAAGCACTGTGATTTTGTACAGTTGCATGGCTTTCGAGGCCTTGCCGGTGGGGAATTATCRGGAGACGTGCTGTGAATGGAAAAGACACAATTGCACTAAATAAAAAGGTCTAAAACTGTATTACACACAGAACATGTTATGTGTACATTGTACACTTGCATCTATCTAAATAAAACAAAGAAACTTACTTACCCATTGAGGGTTGTATTTTGTTGATTATCGGGCGTAAATGTGTTTGCTGTAAGKGGAACGGCAATGGGGAATCCCCCTGAYGCTAGTGCTTGCTGAAATCATCAACAAACAACATACATTTAACAAATTAACATGAGACTCTTRYACAYGTAATTGGWTGTGTATTGTACCTGTGGTAGATAGACTACTCCACCGCTTATAACACCATGAGGGAACTGTATATTTGTATTAGCHGTTGAAATGTTAGGAGCTGGAATAATAAAACGGTGCTGTTGTCCTTGAGGATTACCACCAGCGACTTGAGTTATGGTAGGTTTAGGAGCAAGCTGAAACACATGGGAAGGATGAACACCATCAGAAGTTTGTTATGACATTACCTTTTACTGAATGAATTCATRAAACACTTTGCTTGAAATTGCACAAAAACACACTAATCAAACAGATTTTATTGTACAAATTTGCAGAAGATTCATAAATGATGATCCATAAACATCCTAGCATCCAAACCCTGCCCTTTCTCCAGCCTACCCCCTTAGAGAACGGCCAAAAGTAATGGATAGAGAAAYGATGAGAAATCTCCCCTCTATTTCCCTACCTGAACAGTTTGAGTAACACCTGGAGCAGGTGCTATATTAACTTTTGGGGCAATAGACCGYACCATCACCCCTGCACTCGACGCTGCCATGGTGACAGGAGTAGAAGCTACTGTTTGTGATGCAGTTAGCGTTGTTGCTAAGTTTATTGGTAATATCTTCTGGACATGAAATGGTTGACCCTGCTTACTGGGTGAACCAGTYTTCTGTTTGGTTGCTGGATTGACCTTTTGCACTTGGACAAGAGTGACATTTCCAGCCTTGATTGTCTGTCCTTGTAGCTGGACTGTCTGTCCAGGTAATACATGACCAGCGTCKGTTCTATTTGGTTTTATTTGGGTTATTTTCACAGGACTTCCTGATAAGAGTACCCTTTGAACTTGAGGTGAAGATGGTTGGTTGCCTGTTTGTACTATTGAAATAGGTTTGGCTGCACTACCTCCTAGATACAGAAGTCATGATATCAGTATCGTATAACAAAATATTCACAACTAATGGGTACTGAGTGATCAAACTAGCACTYTTGTATTTGCTTACATGTAAATGTATACTAGATTGCATTCTGTAAAACTATGAAACAGTAAAGTACAAAATTGTACAAAATAGGTGAACATTTAAGAAAACACAAGAGCAGTGTAATTACATATGTTTGAGATATAATTCACAATGTTATTGCCACATCTCTAAAGGAGTTTKRGTTCATGGTTTGCCACTTGCATGCTCAAAAAATCCAGAAAMATTTTAAAGGAAATCAATCAAAACAAAAACAAACATCAATTTGTGCCTCTGACCTCTGATAAAAATGCTGAACTCTTGTTATATCAAAGACAGAGACAAATGTGTTCATACTATATTTCATCTTATGCATAATAAAAAATAATATAACATAATTACATACTAGTCACTGCACAAAAGAATTGAAGAAACTACACTAGGAAACTGAAGAATAATTTATTTTTTCCCTAGTTTTAATTCCATTTTACAGTCATTGGWCAGTCAACAATAAAATATCAAAAGTTGTACCTTGATTATTTGCAGCATTACTTGAGACATTTTCCACCTTAACCAGTGTAATGGTCGGTTGTGTTGATACTGTAGGTGAGGCCTGGCGAGCCTGTRCATTGGAGGCAGCAATCACAGTATTGTCATCTACTGGTTCTTGCTTTACTGTTATTATTTTCTCCATAAAAACTGACTTCTGTGTGTAGAAACAAAATTCTTTAAAGGAACATGTACAAAAATGTTGAAAGGAGTTTATGAGAAAGCTCCAAATTTAACTAGACAGCCTTGAAAAAACTCTCTTCTATGCGAAATCAGTTGATTTTCAACTTAAACACTCCTTAAGCATAGGCTCTAATCATGTACAGCTTTCAAGAAACTATTTTGTTACTTGAAAAGCAGCTTCCTAGTCAAAATATAAAGCTATTTATTTCCCAAGCTTAAATCCATTTATGGTAAATTCAACTACACTCCAAATGAGTGAGTTTATCCATCAGGGTAAAAAAGTCAGTCATGCTCATATTAGTCAGCAAAAGTTATACAATACAGTGTCAAATACTTTTAAACAAATTCTTCGGATCACCTCACAAAGTTTCAACTCAAATAAAACGACAAGTTAATACTTTGGAGCAGGAATCACTGTATACAGACAAAGGACATAGAGGTGTAAATTATGATGTCTCTACAAAACACTTACAGTAAGTGCATAATGTACACATGAGACTGCTGTACAAATGATTACAATTTTAGTTCAAATTGCAACTTCAAAATTAAAATGATAATATAATTTCTTTTAACATTTGTTTGGGCTATAATCAAATGAGTGCAGGTGAGAAGCTGGTTATTTTTTTTACTTTTTTAATTCAAAAGTCATATTAATGTCATTATTAAAGATGAATAGCATATAGAATTTCATCACTGATACATATATGCAAATGCTCAGTAATCCTATGGAGATTGGTTGTCCCTGTTTGTTGCATGTACATATATATATATATATATTGTAAAACAATTGAGTTAATTACTTTTTTTTCAACATCAAACAACTTAGTTTTTCTTTTCAAAAAAATTACTAAAATCAAAGACTGAAATAGCATGCTGAAATCAAGAACATTCAGGTGAAAGACAAGCAAACATAAAAAAAAAAACACAAAAGTTTAATTTTGTAGGCCTAGSTTTATCATCAGTAATCATTGAAGTGTGTAAATTAAGTATTTTATATAAATGCAAACTTTTGGGAACAGGAAATATAATCTAATGTTAGAAAATACTATACAATGTTCCTTATTAGCAGTGGGCCTGATATCTATATGTACATATACATGTATTTTATTAGTGAAAACCTTGAGATGTGAACTTTAGCCTTTTGATCGGTTGAGAGAATTAATAATTTTAGAGTAATTCAGTTGCAGTAAATGTGTATTTTAGTCATTTATTCTAGGTAATTTATCACACCAATACATTGTGCATTAAAATATCGATTAACTTCATGCAAATGTGTCATAATTTATGGTTTGTTTGTAATCGTGCACAGTTAGCAAAAATTACGAGTCAAAAACGGAAAGCCAAATGTTGTTGTAGAACAAGAGCACCTACTAACTTCAACTATTAAATTTCACTGTCATTTACAAGCWTACATTGTTAGAAAGTGTAATATCCCAAATAGACAAAATATTWTTTGATTTGTCATAAAACTGATGTGGTATTAAACTAGTATAAATCAAGTATTTTCTGTCGCATATAAGATTTTTACTGACTATTTGTCCAGCGTTTCAAAGTGTAACATGAAGATTTAGTGAAGACGACAGCATAATTATTCGTCTCAAAAACATATCAGCAACAGAAAAGAAACTCAGATTGCTTGAATTTAAAAAACAAAGCATCCACTTAGGAAGGAGAGATGCAGACATRTGATTTCTGATGAAGAAAAAGACAATATTATACCGGCATAAGAGTTTTGATGAGCTGTAAACATGAACTCGACTGCAACACGTACGTTCATAACACTCAAACGTCCCTCCTCAAAAATAGCTTTGATTGAGACATTACTTTCTCAAAATRCAAATAAAGTTAATGAATTACGTCTTGATTTCATTTCTGTTCCATAAGCAAAAGAATATGGGCAGCAACAGACAGGATCAAGAATCGAGGGAAGACACTCCAGAGGCGAAATTTCTTTGCTGAAAAAAATGGCTCAGAAACTTCACYTAAAAGCGACACTTCCCATCAAAACATGGCCTAAAACAAAGGCAYCTCACCTTTAAGATAAACCACAGTTACAAAGGTCCGAGGAAGGCGTGCTGTAAGTGTAAAAAACCAGGAATAAAAGCCATAGTAAAAATAGAACTTGAAGACAACTTTGGCGACATCTTGTTGTTCAAAATCACGCGCTTCTACAAGGTAAAGAAATCAACCCATAATGCACCGGGTCACACTCGTACCTGATTGGTCAAAAATACAATRGAATTATAGATTCTCAATTTTTATTGGTTCAAAGGACAAAAGAATGAAACATTAACAAATCTGATTGGTTAGTTGGTGTACCAGGAATCCACGGTATTTGTGGCGAGGAAGATTTGAAGAGAACACTAGAAAGCTAAACAAAATGGCTGCAATGCAATCGTAGATGCGTATATTTAGATTGAAAAGTAAGTACAGAATATGTTGAAAATAAATTCATTAACCGAGCTTATTTTCTTTGAAAATACTTAATGAATTTGTTATTATGATAATATCTGCAATCACTGACTGCCTATAGCTATAAAATGCTTGCAGTTGAAAGGCAATGAGCTTCTAAGTTTATAAAATTGAGCTTGTTTTGAAAACTTTTTTGCTCAATACGATTAAAAACTGGATATAATACACATTACACTCAAATTCTGATTGGTTGAGAGCTGTGCTATATTTAACAAATGGATTTCATTTTTCTGTGCGTTAGCACTCTGATATATTCAGCGATGACGTCAAAAGGTGATGAACAAATACTACGTACAGCACGAGACGAAGTCGAGTCGCGTGGATGTTGTTCTCAGCACATTTTCACATCTTTTGTGCATCTGTTAGAGTACWATAATACCACAGAAAAATGGAATCTATTTGTTTTATATATTATATTTTCCTCTAATTTTTTTTTTCTTGTGCGGGTAATGTCATTTGAATGGYATCCAAAATTTTACTTGTTATTAATATTAACAATGCAGTATAAAAAAGTGAACAATACAAATTATTACTTAATAGGTACAAACATTGGTAAAACTCCATTCCCATTAGATGATTTGGGAATTAAAAAATATGAAACTGAAGTTTTGGTGTCTTTTATCTTCTAGATACSCATTTCCTAACATTGCCATTGAGTTTCATTTCTTAATTTTACTAGTCAGGGCAMAAAAGATAATGGCGTGGGTTCTCGCAGGAGGAGCTGTTGCCCTTGCTGCAGGAGTTATCATAGCCAATATGGATTGGTATAAAAATCTTCCTAAGGCTGATTACAACTACCTCAGTCATATAAAAGTGCAGAAATTAGATGGATCYGATAGTTTTCTACCAGCTACTGATTTATGGAGAAAAAAAGGTGCTATTATAATGGTTATACGAAGAGCTGGATGATCTTTGTGCAGAGAGGTAAAGTAGCGAAAGACTATGTGTATTTAGGGAGTGGGGAGGAAAAATATTTTCCCTCCCCAATTCCYGCTCGACCGGCCCTCCCCAATCCCCTTAGGGCCACTACGCAGGCTAACGTGTATTACTTTATACAACTTGAAAGTTTTTAATCACAATTTTCATYACAGGAAGCTTCAATGCTCACCTCTTTAAAACCTGAACTGGACCAACTTGGAGTCCCCTTAGTTGGTATAGTTCATGAGAAGACTGGAGTAAAATCATTTCAGAAATACTTTTCTGGGGAGATTTTCTTGGATTCAGAGGTGAGCTAATTGTTAGCTGAGAATCTCTCTTATAAAGACAACAAAGATGTCATCCTAGGAGACTTTGAATGTCCATAGTACAGTCAGTTATTTCTCTGACAGATGATTATAGAAGGGCCCATATTATAGTTAGGTTGTTAATTATCCCTACAAAAGGCTGGAGGAAATATAAGTTCCTTTTACTGACATATAGAAGTACAAACCAACACTCTCTCAAGGCCCATTTRCACTTGCAATTTTTGCTGCTCGAACATGCTTGAAATTTAGCTGCAACTCACAGCAATTTTCARTCGCCGCTATAATCGCAGGGCTATTTACACTTGTTGTACGATTTGAGGTGCGTGAGAACAAAGTGGTGATTGTTGCACAACAATCGCACTGCAAGAGTAAACGGGCCTTAAGGACAAGGAGAACCTACTAGCAGATTACAGTAGTGATTAACAGATAGATTTKCCATATCTGCCATGTGATGTTCATTACTTTATAACCATTCTTTTTCTTCATAATATTATATTCTGTTTTACAGAGAAAATTTTATGGTCCTGAGGAGAGATATATGTTTATAAGTGGTAAGTTTTGAGTTTATTCTTGCCATGAATCACTATGTAAATCAGTAAGAATCAAAATTGAATTTCTGCTCAATTACGGATTAATCAACAAATAAACTCCGTGTTTGTAGGTTTTCTTCGTCTTGGYGTTTGGCAGTCATTTTTCAGGGCCAAGAACAAAGGYTTTGAAGGAAATCTCAAAGGAGAAGGAAGGATTCTGGGTGGAGTTKTCGTWATGAATGCTGGAGACCAAGGCATATTGCTACAGCACCAAGAGAAAGAGTTTGGTGATCATGTAGAGTTAGATGATGTTAGAAAGGCAATACAAAAAATTCAAATCCCTCATACTCAAAGTAAAATATAATTACATACATTTTGTGGGACGATGAAAAGAAATCATATCCACCTAGTATGCAGATTCATTACAAAATCAATATTTGTCTGCATTGATTCATTATGTCTTTAAAATGAGAYTACATTTATTTGATTATTGAACAGAGCAAGAAAATTATCAGGGGTAGAAGTATGAAATAATGTTGYAAGAGTTCAACATTAGATTTAGATGTGTATGACGCCATGGATACAAAGGTSCATTTAAAATGAAGAAATCTGTGGCTGATGTTGAAACCATATAAATCTTTATACAACTTGATATCCCTGACTTTCTCAGTTCAAAGCTCAATAGAAATAATTACTATTTGTGACTGTTGATGTTTGGCAACTACAAACATGCTTTATTCTTTCATTGCAAGTTCAGAGAAAGCAGACTTTTCTGAAGTGTGCCAAAGTGTGCATTATATACCAATCTAATTAGGTTTACTATGATAGGATGATGTCATGGATACAAAACTCTGTGATAAAAGAGAAACTCGTGACTGATGAGGAATCTAATGTAAATCTATTAGAATTGTGTAACATTTCTGGTGTACAAGTGACAGTGCAATAAACAAGTGCATCTTTATATTAAAGATGTATCAGTGTTGGTGCTAAAATTGTAGTCCACTGTCATGTTGCTCTTCCTTCTCTTTAAATAAAAAATGCACAGCCACTGTGGAGGTTTCTGACAATGTAGATTTAGGGGTGGTACGGGAAGTTGTCAAAGGTCTATATWAAGTATCTCTATACCCTTGATTCCAGAGTAACTGCTTTCTTTGAGTTACAATATGTCAGCACCCCCCCACTAAAAAAATCCTGAAATCCTGTGTTTCCCCTTAGCAACAATGCAGTCTTAGTTGTAGTGTGTTTCTTAATGCAACACAATTCCAAACGTGATAAAAAAAGGTTTTATTTCCAAAATGCAAACGCAATTAAAAATAAAAAACGAATGTTCATACTTAACAAATGTATTCAGTTTTATGGATTACATTTAGAGTGAAGTCAATGAACCCGTGAAATACATATTTGACTATTACATGTTATTACTCGATAATTCCATTGTTTTCTTTTGTGTCTATTTGACTATTACAGTTTAATTATTAACTTTTATTTCACAGGATCAATGCCTTCACTCTAAAATAAGAAATGTCATTTTGCCTTAAAAAGGCATAATCTTTAATATAGTGATCAATGCAATATTCCATGTTGAGCAATGACCTAGCACTACAGCTAACATGTTGTCTTTTTCAGCAATGCGTAGATTAACAGGTGCAATGGTCCAAGTTGTGCATGATTACTAGCCTTTCATATCAAACAGTTGGCCTGTAAACAAAATAGAAGCTTTAATCATGTTCTTTTTTAATGGATCTTTCTTAGAGTTGTTTTCATCAACTTGTGAAATACTTTTAAGGTGGAGCCATGCAGTTGCTTTTTAACAGTTTGCCTCTCCAGTTCATTTTGCTTAAATATTTGTAGCCTTACCTTATAGCTATTAGCTTGTTTCATGGTTTTTGGATTAGGTGTAAAATAATACTGTAGCTTGAAATGATGCCACTTTCAGCTTTGTCAGTGTTACCGTTGCAACAATAACTTTATTTCGAACATCATTCTCTTAAAGTWCCATTACTAAGTACCTAAACATGTGACCAACAAGCATCCAGTATTCGCCCAGCCTCCTCTCCCACATCACCCTCCTTCCCCTCCCAAACCCTTCCATTTCAAAAATATCAAAGGCATGATTGAAAATGCAAGAGGTTTTTTCCAGCAATTGTATATTAAGCTTAAGAGAACTGCCCTCACAGTTGTAACAGATGTTATTGTGCATCTACTTACACCACATTTTTTGGCAAGTTCAGGGTCTTCACACTGATTACGCCCCTTCAGGTAGCACCTGACATCATTCGGGTAGAAGTCAGATGGACATAGTTTAAGTTGCTGTGAAAGGAAAGACATTTGAATTCAAAGGGATTTGAACATTGTAGAAAAGTGAGCACCATTATATTTGATGTGTTAAATTTTAAATTTTACTTCTCTCTTCTCGTAATTTTGATTAATCTAAGTCATTTCAAGCACTCAGTTTGTAGTCCATTGTAAATTATGCTGCTGTAGGGTCAACGTTTTAAATCATGGTGACTGACTTGGCAAATAATACACTGACTGCCATTTTGATATATTGATTTATAAATTAATGGATTGATTGATATTCATCATTGCACAATACCTACTTTACAAATAGTATCTGGATCAAGTTTCTTGAGTTCGTTAAAAATGAGAGGAATTGTCTTGTTTATGAAGTCATCACACTAAAGAATAAACGTTCCTCATTAGATTAATAATAATTTAATAATAATTTAATAATAGAGTGAAGGCATTGATCCTGTGAAATAAAAGTTAATAATTAAACTGTAATAGTCAAATAGACACAAAAGAAAACAATGGAATTATCGAGTAATAACATGTAATAGTCAAATATGTATTTCACGGGTTCATTGACTTCACTCTAATTTAATAATAATTTAATAATAATTTAATAATAATAATTTGTGTTTATTGATGTTGTCAGGGATTGCTGATGTCTTTGGCAGGTCACCTAACAATAAAAGGGACTTTTATTTGGGATAAATACCMAAAAAAATGCGTTTATACCTGTTGTTTGACAGGCAGCATGTACCAGCATATCAACCTCAATGCTTTCTCGAGATCAGCCTATAAATAAGAAATTATCTTCAACAATGCGCATGGAATAAACTGCACAGAATGCGTTAAATACTCTACGTTATACGTAAGAAGTACGCACGGTCACTTTACGCATGGACGCATACTCGACACAATATACACGAAATATCTACGTAATACGCATCAAGTACTCTACGTTATACGTAAGCAGTACGCATGCTTCAGTATACTTTAAACACACACAGGAATACTCGTACTCTTGCGCACTGATTATTCAGTTATAAAAGCACGGTATTGACAAGACGCAACTCAACTTATGCGAATAAAAGAAAATAGAACTAAGGTTAGTCTCGCCGATCTTCAACGGAAGCGGTACGGCAAATCAGGGTCGTACATAGAGAGGTGTCAGAGTGCCCGTGACCCMCCTTTCAAATCAAAATTAATTTAAAAAAGCAAAATTAGAAATTTTCCCGTTCCGTAAGTGTAGGCAGATTCTTTTACACTTGACTTAATCAGATAAGTTTTTTTCATTTCTCCATTATCTTTTGTATTTAAAACAATAGATTTCGATGACGTAGATATATTTTATGACGTCAAATTTATGTCATGTGACGTCATATTGAGAGTTTTATTATGTAAGTATAAGAGATTTTGTATTGATTTAATCTGCTGGATAAGGATTAATCCAGTGGATATAGCGATACCCCCCCCCCCCCCCCCCCCCCCCCCCCCCCTACATACAGCTGGTCACAGATGTCTTTATCAGGTGGAAAACCTTTTTAAGACATGCTTTATGTTGCTAACCTCGGTTTCGTTGTCCTCGACTAACTTCTTAGCAATACCCAAGAGGGTCTCGCACATGCTGCATATTGTAATATTACCATTGCTTGGCATCATTTCCTCTAATAATAAATTAATAAACATCCTTGAGAATGCACAAYCAGTTAATGTACTTTGTCGGTGTTTTGCAGAGCCGGTAAAGGTCATGTGACAATCGTCTTAGCAGAGTTTATCAACCACTGCGCACGATAGTCTATTATCAATTGTTCCCACAAACAACTTATTGAATTTATTGCCAGTGTAAATCGCTCACGAGCTAGGAAAAAAATGGATGATACAAAACTAATGRGACTTGTGGAAGTCATTTCACCATAAAGAGCACTCCATGACCAAGACCAGTAATGCTTATTAATGATGATGTTGAAGATGATGGACATGGTCCGGCAGTGGCCAGGAGTCATAAGTAGCAGSAACTTTTATTATATATTTATATTTATTAGATACATAAAATATGTGACAGTCATTTTCTTTTATCGACCTCAAACGAATGTTTTTCGAAATAAAGCAGTAAATACAATGGAAATAAATCCTCACCTTTCATAAACCTGGAAGATCCACAAAGTTGAAGGGCAGTGCATATCACATCTGGGCTTATTTCATTGACCAAGATTTGAACAATGGCCGGCTCGTATTGCTTAACAAAGTTATCACACTCATCCTAAACAGCAACATACAAACAAGTCATTCTTCATGAAAAGATACAAAAGATGTGATGAGGGGACAGGGAATTAGGGGAGTGCCATTCGCTATATATAKCTTCAGAAATAGACCTTTAGTCGACTGAAACATTTTGTAATCRCCAAAAGATAATAGATTTTGCTCAAGTAAAGTTTCGCTCAGATAATTCACAACCGTACTTCTAAATAGAGCGCATGTGTGCGGATCCAGTACCGTGATTTGTGCATGTCTTGTCGCGCGACTTTATCGCAAATTGATAAAATGTACCATATTGAAAGCTCACACGTGCAAATTTTCCGCAGTCAGGCAGAGATGGTAAATTTTTTACCTTCTGGAGCAGAAATCGCCGCGGAGTTTCAGCTAAATGTTCGAAACCCAGTGTTTTAATACACGTACGATTGGAGGTGCGCGAGTAACGATTGTCGCGCGTCAAGAAAATTCAATATAACAAATGTATGCTTTTTCTATCATAAGACGCTAAGCTAGGAATACACATAATAGCAATGCTTTTGCGATGACATCGATCTGTATCCTATGAAACGATCACTCCAGATAAAGATGTATCAATGAAACTGAAACTTTGTTAAAATGCTTTCGTACGTAGGATTCATTTGTTTAAATACTAAGATTTGCTTATTCTACGTATCCTCGCGCACGCATTGTAATTTCATTTTGCCCTGATGATGGACAATTTGTCCGAAAGCTAGGAAAGTAATAAACTTACGTAGAAGAAGCAAATCTTAGTATTGAAACTTGTTTACCTTGTATGCAGAYGGCAACAAGCCACAAACTTGCTCCAAGGCTTGCTCAATCTCTTCCTGTCATTAGAAAAGAAATTGTTGACAATCTTCGATTGTCTGTTTGTTGGTTCACGCTTTGAAAATGACTGTAATACCGTGAACGAGATAAACAAACAAACCTGTGTGGAGTTTTCCGAGAGCAGCGAATCAAGYTCCTTCACAATCATCTCACACAGTTCGCATTGAGGTGATGCTTTGATAGGTTTGACTTTGACTAAATCGCGAACTAAAAAAAATTATAAACATTATCATGCAGCTGTTTCAGAAAACGTTAAATGTGGAATACTGCATTCTGCATAGTGCATTTCAAGACCACAAAGAATTGTTGCTGTAAACACCACGTTAGATGCGTTACAAAATGACAATTCTGGTTGCCATTGAAAATTTTGACTGTGCGAAGCTGATATAATCATTCTGAAACTTTGCTCTTTCCTTTTCATTTGGTCTTTTTTCCGCCATTCATTCCATTAAATGTTTCCCCTTTTATTATTCTTTCTATAGTGTAATTACCTTTGATTTCGTTTGCTTTACACAGGCCAAGTTCCTGGCAAACCATCTCTGGTGACATTTGGGCCAGGGCTTGAATGATAGGRTCGACATATTCGTCGACAAATTCTGTGCACTAAAAGAAAAAAATATATTTCAGTGTTTCTTCATCCATTGTTTAGCTCGCTCCTTCATTGAGTCATTGCTTTGTTTGCTACTGTAAATGCTACTAGCAAGGGTAGTAAGGGCAGGTTGACTTGGAGACAAGTTTTAGTAAATAAAGATATCGAGATGATATCTTAGTTGTAAACAATATGGGCCTTATGTGCCTCCTGACGCGAATAGAAATGATGATGATGGCTCAATATGGGTCCCATTATGCGAAGTGTGGATAGAATTATCCACTGCGTAAAAACTTGAACAGATTTTTCCACGTGGATCAGGATTTTTCCTGTGGATAGAGCTATTGACCCTTCGAACAACCGACTGAGTTTGACAGACAATGAGTTTCAATGGGTGGCAAGGGTGGCCTAGTGGTTAAGCTGCTGGCCTCTCACCGCTGTGGTCCGGGTTCGATTCCCGGGCACGGACCATATGTGAGTTTGAGTTAGTTTGATCTGTTGTTCTCTCCCTTGCCACGAGGGTTTTTCTCCGGGTCCTCCGGTTTTCCTCCCTCAGTAAAAATCAACATGTGAGGAGTGTTGTGTGCTAAAATACTTAATGTAGAGGTAGTGAGTGTGAGAGTACAGGGTCCGCAGTAATTGGCTCACGCTGTTGCGGTGTCCCTGCCCATACTAGGGACAAAGCTAATAAATTAAATTAAAATTAAATTAAATTAATTAAATTAAATGAACATATTCTTTTGTGTAGAGAATATATATAGTAATTACTGATCAATAACTGTGATAACTATTACTTACCATCTGTTTTGCCGAACCTGGGAGTACCCCACAAACTTTCTCTAAC